TATATATATATATATATATATATTCCCCCGCTCTGTGCTTGTCATATGTAAAGTGTTTCGGCCCCCATTTCGGACATCTCTATAGATCCGCACCTGATTACCACGACCATCATCATCATCACGACCACCACCACCACCACCACTATCATCATTTATTATTATCATTGCCATGATCATTATTATGATCATTATCTTCATTAACATGGACGAATTATAACATTCACAAAACGTCGATCTCACATCACCCCTGTTCTCCGAGAACTCCATTGGCTTCCCATTAATTCTCGCAATAAGTTAAAAATCTTGCTACTTACTTTTAAAGCAATTCTATTTAAGCAACCTATCTATATTATACATCAGCTTACCCACATTTATGTTCCTGGACGCACCCTAATCATCTGAAAATTTTTTGCCCTCCGTTCCCCGCACATCCTTAAAAACTGTTGGCCATACTTTTCTTTTTCTTTTGCCGCACCTAAACTTTGGAATTCACCCCATGCACACATTAAAAACTGTTCTTCTTCATTAAAAAAAAAAATACTCAAAGCTCACCTTTTCCATCATTAACATGCAAAGCGCCTTTGAAAATACACCTCGGTCGTTTAATTGATGCTTTATAAATTCTTATATTATTATTATTATTATTATTATTATTATTATTATTATTATTATTATTATTATTATTATTGTTAAGATAACATATGTTCATCATGATTACGATGATAACGATCATCATCAGCATCATCATGTCCTCATTATAATCAGCAGCAGACCACATAGGCCTAGTCATAATACTATAAACATAAACATAATACTATCATCATTATTATCGTTACCATAATCATCATTATTATTGCCATTGTTATTATTATCACTATCATCATTATCCTCATTATCTTTATTATCATGAAAGACATGTTCGTCATGATTACGATTGATATCACCATAACGATCATTATCATCATTACCAGCAGTAGCAAAATCATCATCACCACCATCATCTTTAGCATAGTAATCCATTTCTATCATAACGACCACCATGATCTTCATCATCAAATCATAATTCATTACTATAGTAAATAAATTATGGACACGGGGGCGCTTGCAATAGCATGAATAACTTCAAGGTAGGATTACAAGAATATAATTGGCTATTTCCTGGACCGATGCCAATTGGTCAAATGCCATGCCATTGGCTTATGATTGGTCAAGCAACATTCAATCGATATAAATTGAAATTTAAACCAGTGTGTTGATAATCCCTCTCTCATTATTTATTTGATACTAAGCTTGAGAAAATAATCTATATTCAGCATTATTCTATACTGAGTGTATAATGTCAAATGCGCAATGTTAGATAGGCCTAATTGATGTGATTATTATTAACAATAATGAGGATAACGAATAAGATGATTTTGGTGATGGTGATGGTGGTGATGATGATGATTATGATGACAACAATGATAATGATGAAAATGATGATAATGGAGATGGTGATGATGATGATGATAATGAAGAAGATTATGACGAGGATGATGATTATGGACGAGGATGAGAATGATGTTGTGGTGGTGAATATGATGATGATTATTTTTATGGTGATGTCTATGATGTCTATGGTTATGATCAATAATTAATGGTGTGTAGAATGATGGCATGATGATAATGATTCTCTTATGGGGTGGATGAAAACAATGTATACTAATTATATTCATAAGTGATAATGGTCCAATGATGATGGTAATGAAAGTGATGATGATTATAATGATTAGGATAGTGGTAATGTTGGTGATGATATTGACGATAATAATGATGATGACATTAAGATGATTATGACTGTGAGGATGATGACGACAACGGATGACGATGAAGGCTAAGATGATGTAGGCCTAATGAGGAGGAGGAGGAGGAGGACGATGATGATGATGAGGATGATGATGATGATGATGATGATGGATGGTGATGATGATGATGATGATGATGATGATGATGATGATGTTGATGATGATGATGGATGATGATGATGATGATGATGATGATGATGATGATGATGATGATGATGATGATGATGATGATGATGATGATGATGATGATGATGGGGAGGAGGAGGAGAAGGAGGAATTAACTACAGTAATTATTTTTACGATGGTTATTACAAAAATTATATGACTAATATTTTTTTGGCTTAAAATTATTTAGAATAGAACGCAAAATAACATTTTTATTTGACAGAAATTTGTAATCGAGGACTTATATTTTAGGCCATTATGTTTCATTTTTCAATACGTGCTGCTTTCACTCTGAAGCTAATTTCGCTGCAGGATAAGTAAAACATTACATGAGATTAATCCACTGCTAGGAAAGGACTGCGCTCTGTGTCAATAAACATCAATCACACAACTCTGTAACATCGCAAATATCGGTTCTTTCCTAGCGTACGGGGTAACATAAGTGGATTCAAGCTCATAACAATGTAGTTCTGTTTACTTTGTAACTTCATGCTGACAATAATCCCGGTTAAGTACTCAAGACAGACGTGCCGCACGCAGCAGTAGAGCGTTTATACAATAGGCCTATGCATGCACGCGTTGCCACGGTTATCGTTAACGGGCCAACCAATAGTTGGTTTTGTTGAATACAAATTTAATATCGGCGCAGTACAGGTGTGTGCTGTAGTGATGAATCACTAGATATATGTAGCCAAGGCAACCTAGTGATTGATTTTACCAAGCAAAATTTGTGATGTACAGCTCTCAATATCCGATATTATATATTTTCCAAACTCAGTGTTGTGCGAATTCCCAATAATACATTAACTAAAGCTAATAGTAATGATGATGATGATAATAATAATAATAATAATAATAATAATAATAATAATAATTATTATTATTATTATTATTATTATTATTATTATTATTATTATTATTATTATTATCATAATTAAATATTATTTAATGATAATAGTAATTCATTAGGAATATATATAGGCCCTATTTAAAAAATCCAACCACATTAATCATAATAGGCCTAATAATAATAGAAAATATTAATGAATCAAATTTGCTAATTGTTAATAGAATCACGACCTAAACATAATTAGTAGGATCTGGACAATGAAAATATGGGGATTGTTTTTTCGCGTTTTTTTTTTTTTTTTTTCGAGTACATTGCCTTGTGGAGGAATGTTCTGAAAACGCGATGACGTATTGAAACATCGATAATGTAAATGAAAATCTGTAACTTCGCAAATATCGGTTCTTTCCTAGCATACGGGGTAACATAAGTGGATTCAAAGGAAAATCTATTCTTATAAACAATCTTTAACATTTTTATATTAATTGCTACGTCCTTACAATGTTAATAAGTACAATTAAAATGTTATCTTATTGTCTCCTGTATTTTGCTTGACTTCGTTAACTCATTAGATGGCGTCCTTTGTTTTGTCGTAGACTACAATTCCTTACATTTTAATTGCGTTACATATGTTATCTAATATTTTTATTTCCCATGCAGTCATGATTGGACTGCTACTCATGTGTTCCCTCTACATTTCCATTACTACTACCGATACAATACACAGGGCTGGATTAAAGGGTTGTGGGGCCTGGGGCTATAATTGCAAGTGGACATATACTATGTGGATAACATGAAACCAGATTTTCGGTGATTTTTCATGGGGTTCGGAGTCTATTTTTTCCTATTGGGGCCTGTGGGCCTGGGGCTTGCGCCCTAAAAAGCCCCTATGTTAATCTGGCCCCGTTCGTCGCCAGGCCACATCTACGATCCAAAACAAAGAGAAATTGAAATTTAAGTTTGTGCCTACTTTTGTATAGCCATATATTTTTTCTGTAGCAGAAATTCGTCGTTGCCCATTCCCGGTTAGTATCTAATACTACCTATTGCAAAGACACTAGGCCTATATTTATCTCAAACAATTCACGTCTTACAGTATGGACAACCTCAAACCATAGTAGTGAATGTGTTCATATATCATCTATAGACACGGGATTGATTCATTACCCTTGTAAATCGAATAAGTGGCATTATTGCCACTGGTAATTCAACCCTATCAGAGTAATGGAATAGTCCTCTGAATCTTCATTTCGTTGTCTTTTAATATCTGAGATATCTATGGTAACGGGGATCACTGCAGAAAGAATCGACAAAGATATATTCTAAGATATGCTCAGTTGCGTTATAAAATGACTCCACATTTCGATGGATTTACCTATATGTTCGTGATCTTGTATTGAATAACTGCTTGGACGGGAGGTGAAAGATAAATAAGAATGGTAAGTACCGATATACCGGGTTAGAAATAAGTTACGCTATAAAGTAAGGGTCTATTCCGTTAGCGGATAAAATCGGATTTGTTTTAATTAGTCGCGGTGTAATAGAAGTATACATGTCCCGCGTGAGCCGAGATTCGACATTTAACGAAAAGTGCTTTGTATTTTTTAAATCGAAACAGCAACGAGACGCTCGCTAAATTAGGAATTCGAATATCAAATCAAAAATCAAATAAATATTGATTTTTTTCCACAGAAAAGGACGTGATGCTATAAACTAATTTTCCTTTTGCAGTGCTGCATGCTTAAATCAATGTGGAAATATTCTATGGCGATTCCCAAAAAATAAATAAATAAATAAAACCCTGACAAAGCAAGTATTCACTGGGCTACATCATGAGCACATTCGTTGACTCTGTTTTATAATAATCAAGTCGATGTATTAAGGGGCTTAAGTATGACTACCTAACCACAGAGTTTTAATAAAGTATGAACTCTATTAGTCGTATCTACAATTACTTAGTAGGCCTATTAATCAACTAATTATTTCTACTTCAGTGTTCCGCTTATTCACTAATAGGCAAATGTCAAAGCTAAAACAAACAACCCAACCATAATTACGTAAACCGCAATATAGTCAATATAGTCCTACTTATGTATACACACAGACTTAATGTAGCCCAACAAATCCTTGGACAGTGTGCGACCGATAAGGACTGAGCATTTATAACATCAAGTGATGTAGCCTACCTCATATAGGACAGTGTTAAATTAATTAAACTTTGAGTACCCGACAAGATGATTTTAACGAACGCTTGGATACACCTCTCTCCTTGGAGCTTTGTAGTCTTAAATTAAACCTATATATTAGCCATATAAAGTATGTTCTTATTATACTATAATTGAATTTTCTACTGTAAAGTCTGGTACGTACACAGGCCTACCACTACTTTTCTATGCTAGGCCTGTATGGTGTTGCTTGTATTCATTACCAGTTTTATTTTCACTCGCGTAAAATTGTAACATCTAATTAAATTTCAATTTCGGAATTAATACATTGTGTCTAATTTATAACTGAATTGGTATTTTTTAGGTAAGCTAATTAGCTGTTTGAAATAAAATATTTTTAACATAAATTCATTATTTTTTTTACTAAATTACAAATATGTCAATGTTTTCTAAAAAGCAATCAACACTTGGCCTATTTTTCCTATTATTCCCTGAAGCTCTATCCAGTTCATCAAAGTTGTATGCCCATATAATATAGTCATGACGTGCAGAACTAAATATAGGCCTACATGTCTTAAAAGTTAAAAGAATACATTGATGGTCCTCCTTCGTGGTGTCACATATTGAAATTTGATTACAGTATATCAGCTTTTGTCAAGGAAGTTCAATTTTCATTTTCTTTTACGATTATTAATTTCTTTCTCCCAAATAAATGGGACTAAGTATCATTTCACTTTTATTTATTTCTATTATTACCTATCCAAGTTATATTTCAGTATTATATTATAAACATTTTGAACATAATAATTTCGACATGTTGATTGACAGTCTTTAGCCCACAAATATTAGTATTATTCCGTTCCTTCCAGATTAAATGCTATTTACATTTTTTTTTAATTCACTGTGTCCGATAACTCATAAATAAATGTCTCCTGAAAGGTTTTAACGATCGGGTGGATCGTCACTACAATCTAATTTGATTCTGTCACCGAACGAGCCATTAGTGATATTTTCTTATTCCTTTCCTCTTTATTATCTTTAATTATGTTGCATATCAAACTGGCATAGGTTTTACCAAATCAACATTTCTGTAGTAAATTAATTCCATTGTATTAGCTATTTGTATCAATATGATTATAATCCACAAATAATGACAATAAAGTACAGTAAAGGCCTATAACAATTAAATAAAAATATATAGCAATAAAAGTAACTTATATAACAAAAAGTATATAAATTATCAACAAATGTTCCACGACTATTCACATAATTTTAAACAAAAATTAATCTAGATGAAAGAGAATAGCATTTGAAAATACAATTCCTATGTGGATTATTATAGACTTTATACCTTCTAAAATATAAACCGATTGGTAAATTTGTTTTATACTAAGAGGCGGCATATAAAATTAGTCAGGGATCTTTAAAATGTAATGTTCATTTTTTTAGATTTTTTTTTCTGGTGCGGAGGAAAGAATAAATACAACATTGACAGACCAGGCTTCAAAGAATAGTTGCACTACAGGTAGAAAAGGTGAAAGGTAAATCTTACTTAGGCCTATGCATTAAAGTGGACAATGGTAAGGCAGTTTAATGTCATGTGGAAGGAGGTAGGCCTATACCTAGTAAAAATTATAATTTTAAGTGAGAGAGTAGTGGTAGCCATATTGTGTGCGATAATAAAACATGAAAAATCATCTCAGATGTTTGGTTCTTGGATCCATTCTTTTGACTACTCCAGGGGTTGCGCCAGCCATGTGTATAAGAGACAGTTCTACATATTATTAAACTCTAAAATCGATTGAATAAGTCTTTGGAAACCCCTCAATTGTTAAAATATTCCCCCCTGGACCACTTTCGAAACCTTTAAATTGAAGCTCGACCACGCCCACTTTACTTTCCCTCGTCGGGGCATCGGACTTTCCCGTCGGGGACCTCGGTAACCCCTTCGGGCAAATCACGGCGCCACCCCTGGACTACTCTTCTGGACTCTTATAAAATCAAAGTTAGCGTATCGCATCGTGCTTTAGAAGAGACCCGTGCATAACATTTTCTCCCGATTTATCGCCCAATCCACCACCAGATGGACTGGAAATTGATTTGATTTGTACATTCGTATAGGTTATCTTTGTTTAACATCAAAGAAATCCAAATCCGAATATCCTAATATTGCTGGATGTGCAGAAAATGAAATTTGTTCTGTTGCCTGCTTAATCTCACTTTCTATTTTTTTTTTATTAGGTTTTAACGAATGCTCAATCCTGGCAAACTATCAAGTTTAGTTTCCAAAATCAAAATTTTAAAGCTTTATTGAATAAATAAATAAATTAAAAAAAGAAAAAAACAAAAAGAAAAAAACAAAAATATAATTAAAAGAAAAACAAAAAACAACATAATCTGTGAATCCCCAGCACAGTGCGCGACACTTACGGCACTACGCTTTACTGATCAATGTAAATTAAAGTCGCTAATGCGGTTAATGTCCCACGAAATGCGAGTCAAACATAATGCTATAACTCATCCTATCATTTGAAATAGCTACGAAAGTAGATGACAACGCATAAACAGCCTAAAAAATTAACGCGTTACATTTCTTCTGTCACGCCAACGTAGATTTGCACCGCCCTAGTTGATAGCTAATACAGTAGCTAACGGACCAAGTGTGTATTCGTATAATGAAATATCAATGACATTTTCATAGTCATAATCTTTATAAAGCAGTATGGGACATCAAATGATACGGATTATATTACAGTATATTATGAAAAGATAGCCCAGCTAACACGTTTACGTAATAACAACGTTATAATAACGTTGCGGATGATATTCAAATCGTTTTTTGATTGTTTTGTTTTGTTTTTTGTTTTTGTCTTCAAGAAATAAGTTAGTATCAAAATAACATAATTTCAGAATAAATGACGTAGCAAGCATTGCTACAGCTTATTACCATTGTTTTCTGAAGCTCATAGGCCCACTAAAGCCTGCCATCAATAGGTAGTGTTCATCTGGAGGATATGGGTTCGGCCGAATTACCTGAGGTGTTTTCACAAGTACAGCATTTATTCGATTAAACGCCGCTCCCCCTCTAGAGCCTGATTTTAGAGCATGCTTCCGTCGAACAAACCCTCAGTGACGTTGATGTTTCGTGAAATAAACGCCCCCCCCCCACCCTAAACAAACTGATTGGGATCAAAAAGGTTTTTGTTATTATCACGCAATAGCACAATTTCACAGTAATTATGTGTTGGAGTTACGCCTCCTTCAAATAAACGCTCTATCAATAACCCTTATCAACAGGGGTGGCGCCAGGATTTGCCCGACGTGGGGCCGTGGGAGCGATTCCCCCGACGAGGGGTCAGATTTCCCCGACGACAGCAATGTGGGCGTGGCCGCGCTTCGATGAAAAGGTTTCGAAAGTGGTCTAGGGGGCGAAGCCCCCTCAAAATTTTAACAATTTAGGGGTTTCAAGGCTTATTTATTCGATTTTAGTCTATATATTTTTATATGTAAAAAATAAATATAATTTTTTTTCGACAAACTGTGCTTTTTTTCCCCGACGGGGGGGGGGGTCCCCCGCTGGCGCCACCCCTGCTCAACAATAAACGTTTTCTTCAAATAAATACGGTATTTATAAAATGACAATGTGTATTCAGAGTGCTGTGTGTTCGTGTCAGATTTGGGAAAAAAAAGTTACTTTAGTTTCCTGACGCATTTATTTTTTGTAAAATGGTTTAAGACTGAGTGGTGGTATGATTAATTTCTGATATACAAGGACATTGTCTTAATGAATGAAGTTTTTTTTCCTTTCGTGTATTTCAAATTAATACAATCAATAATGCAAAAATTGGCAATCTAGAATTTATAAAAACATAAATATATTTAGACAATATATTTGGATTTTTTGTATGTAACCGCCGTATAAAAACATCATTTATTGTTTTTTTTTCCTTTGTTGCTTTTTATAAATTAAGGCATTGTTACATCTAATTTGTCCAAACTTATGTACATTATTCATCAACACACGTTGATGAATAACTTGATGAATATATAGAGCAAAGTGACATGAGGACATGATTATAAGATGTACAAACAGGTGAGGGTCAAATTGAGAGTGAGGGAATAATTTTTGCCTATACACAGATTGCTAAACGAAATTTTTAGTGCAAAGTCAATAAATATATTTAAAGGTAAACATGATTGTTACTGGTCCAAGAATCAGTATAAATATACACTTTTATTAATTAAGAAATGATAATCTGGACTGATTTTTTTTT